ATCGAAAACGGAGCGTGAGTACGGAACTGAATAACGGGAAAGGAGGGAGTGTATTTATTTTGGGGGAATTTTTTTGATTGATCTGGGCGGGCGCTGTTATTTGTGCATCATGGCTTATTGTAAGTCTCCGTGTGAGTGAAAGTTGGCTAGAAGCATTTGACTCAATCCATCCATCCGGAGATCTTGAGTGAATCTGCCTGAAATCTCGTCTAGGTTCAGTCGAAAAGCTTCCTCCAGATAATTGGCTGTTCTTTTTGTTTTTTAATAGGCTGCTCAATGAGCAAAAAAAAGTGAAAACACACAAAGAGAGAACGATCCYTAGAACATAGACCTGCAGACCGGACCCTCATTCAGYCGTCTTTAAGTCTGGATTTCGAACCTCGCTCTTGCAATACGAGAATGGATCTTCCGCTAGAACGTGGATAGATACATCACCATAATTTGTCTTTTGTGCTTGTTCTAAGTGGTGGAGCGAGGCTCTTGTCTAGGTCGGATATGGGGAAGTGTTCCTCTTTCATGGTTTCAAATGTATCCAGGCGGCTATTAGGGCGAAGTGCAGGGGGATATCGTGACTCATGGTAAATGTTCTTCTTTTCTTCACTGTATCAAATGAATTTAATTGGCGGTAAGGGCCAAGTTCAGTTCAGGGTGATATCGTGACCGACGGTAAATTTCCCTCTCTCTTCATGGTATCAAATGAATGTAGTTTGCGAATAGGCCCAAGTTCAGGGTGATTAATGTTTTCAATAGGTTTGGCAAGTACTGGGCTACTGTCGTCTTCCCCCGAACGCAACGCACCGTCATAATGACTGCATCTGACCTGAAAGATAGCTTGTATACACTCGTTATGAGGATGCGTTGTCTTCGGGCGTAGACGATGGTTTTAAAATATGTATTATGACATACAGTAAATGCGCTTTAACTTGTATATAGGGGGATATCGCGACCGACGGTAAATGTATCTGACCGAGTCAGCGTTGGTAGTGATTTCCCTCTACTTAGCTCCTGCTCGGAGCACTTAATCTCCAACTGTGTATATGGTATATGATGGAAATCATGGCCAGTTTCTAGTTCGTGCTTTCACGTGTGACCCTGTGCATCTTCAGTCATGGATTGTATAGCCTTTGGTCAGGGGTTTGTCTGGTTTTTGTGCCTTAAATATCAAAGCAGTTGTGGTGATGTTGGTCGATCGATGGTGGGGCTGGTCTCCAGATCGCTCGATGTCCGTGGGCGTTGGCATCGCTGGGTGTCCCAGAACAAGTTCACCGCCCCCTTGCTCCTCCTCTCTAAGACTCTCACTCCTTCCTTCACTCATCTGTCAACATGACGTCATCGAAATCCCCAACCTGTGGCGCTGCTTTGTTAGAGGCACGTCCAGCTAGAGATATGTCCATTCCATGAAGGCACTCACCGACGGCCAGGTCACCAGGTCCATGTTTTCCAACTCCCAAGCACAAACATAGAAGTTATAGAACCAATATAGAACGCTAGACCCGGTTTCCAGCAGGTGCTGCTCCCCACCAATAGACGGAGTTTGTTTAAAAAAAAAAACAAAAAAAAAACAACATAGAACCAGTGGGGCCTGCCCCCTCCTACCAACCAGTGTTGGCAGTAATGAATCTAATCACACATTCTCATTTACGAAAAACGTTTTCGTCACACAATTGCATCCGGAGACGCATTTGGTCAGGTTCGTGATCTATGTACCTGAACAGAATTGCATCTGGAGACGCATTTGGTCAGGTTCGTGATCTATGTACCTGAAACTTATAAAAGGGCTCGAGTCTGTCTGAGACATCCAGGTCTCTGATGCAAAAGCCACGGTTGGCACCGATGGCATACATAACCCAAACCATAGGGGTAAAGTTGTAATTAACCTGAGGGGACAGACTACCGTGTAATTACAGTGGTTAAGTTGTGCTAGATCAAGATCTCCCACCCTCCTCTCCATCTGATCGTTAAGTTATGTTTCTTACAAACCACGGTCCAATCAATCACAATCATATCAAGCGGCACTCGAGTCAAGTTTGGCGGTTTGCAGCTCGGAAAAAAAGTTATGTTTCTTACAAACCACGGTCCAATCAAAAAGAAGAAAAAAAAAAAAAAGAAGAGGAAGAAGAAGAAGAAGAAGAAGAAGAAGAAGAAGAAGAAGAAGAAGAAGAAAAAGAAGAAGAAGGATGCTTGGCGGTTTGCAGCTCGGAAAAAAAAATTAAAAAAATCATGTTCAGCTTTCCACTACTAGCTATTATGCACAATAGTGAAGACTAAGCCCACTTGCCCTCAGACCGATTGCGATCGTCGTTGGACTCCTCGTTGCTACTACCCTCGTCCTCAACGACCTTCGTGATTTTCTTCAACTAACGGTCGGTCTCTCGTGGGGGGGGGCGAATGGCGATAGGGGGCCGCGTTGCTGCTGGGGGGGAGTTCCTCTGTTTTCGTGGCCTGCCGCGTCCCCTCTTCACGAGAGCTGGTATAGCGGGCTCCACAGGCACCTTCCTCTTCCTTCCCACCGCGCTTCTCTCAAGGTTGTCATGCCGCAGTTTTTGAAGCAGCGGTGGAAACTCCTCAACAGGCAGCACAACAGCGAGCGAAGCAGATTTGGGTGCACGCTGGCGCCTCTTGTCCATAAGCGAAACTTCTTCGTCCTCTTCATGCTCGTCTTACAATTGTTAATCTTCCTCTTCTTGCTGCCGCTTCTGCACTTCTCGGTGTTCGTCTTCCTGTCCGCTTGCTGCATTTGTGGCTGGCTCTCCCCCGCGTTGATCTTGTTTCTTTTCACAACCCTGTTCTTCCCTTTGCCCCACGTTACGTGGCAAGGCTGCTCGACTGGCAGCCTCCTGCTCCATGCGCTGCATCACAATGGCACGGTCTCTTTGCGCTAGGGTCTGTACCGCTCTTCTCCCAGCCTCATCGTCATTCAGTCCAACATGCAGGCTGTTGTCGAAGTGACCAAACTCATGCAAGCTCAGGAGATTGTTGTCAATCTCGTTGTTGTCCTCGGACTTGTCGCTATCGATGTCTGAGCGCAGGCCGAAATCAATCTCTTCCTCTTCCTCTTCCTCTTCCCCTGCTTCCTCTTCCTCCATGTTCTCTTCCTCCCCGTCACAATCATGACCTTCTTCCTCGCCTACCATGGGTGTTTTCCCATTCTTCACCACCTCATCCCTCTTCTTCACACCCTTCCCCCTCCAAACCAAGTCCTCGCCGTCGTCGCTGTCATCAGAGCAGCTAGAATCATCCAACCTCCCCACCTTTGGAACCCTCCCACTTGGTGCCTTGCTCAAATGATCATGCGCAGCCAGCTCACCTTCTATAATCGGTGCGTCAGGAGGAAGAATGGCAGGGTCCTCAAGTGGCGGCGCCTGTTCGTCGTCAAAGAAGCTCGCCCACAAGTCAATGAAGCCCCCTTTGTTCTTCTTCTTGTTCACCTTCGTGAGCTGGATGTTCCAATGTATATAAACAAGCTTGTTGATAGTTTCAGGGCACAACTGGTTCCTCCTCTTCTCGTGCACAAGATCGAGGGTTGACCAGTTCCGCTCACAAGGGGTGGCCGTGCTCCATATTGCTGTCACTCGTGTTGCAATCTTATGCAGCTCCTCGTGACTCTTTCCATGACAGTTCCACCAATCTGATGCAGTGTGCTTCGTGAGTGCGCTGTCAAATTTGGCGAAGTCCGTCCATAGACTGTCTTGATCCTTCATCGGCTTGGAGGACTCTCCCACCGGCTCTTTATGGAACACCTTCAAACTTCCCCACAACTTAAGATGCTCCTTGCATCCCCAAGTGCCCCCCTCGCTGCATTATGACAACAGGAACTTTATGGCATTTTGCACAAGGGGGCTCTTGGGGTCGTGCAAATAACGAGGGTCCCTCCTCGAGGGATTGAGAAGGAAGTTGGTTGCATGCACCGACTGTCGCATCATCCTGCATCGGTCCTTCACTTTCTCCGCAATGGAGTTTCGTTGTTCCGCAATCAAGCCCTGCATCGCGTTCAAGGGCTTGATCAAGGCCTCCTCGAACCCCCACAACTGATACGGTGCTGTCCCACTGCGATCCATCTTCCTCAGCAATTCGAAGACAGGATGCATGACATTCACCGCTCTTTCCACGACCTGCCACCACAAATGCCAAGAGTCCAACTCCGAGAACTCACGATATATATGCATGGTGAAGTGGTGGCTCTTGATACACTTCACTACTGTCTTCGCCCGCTTCCGCAGATCATCAACCCAAGGTTCCTCACAAATGCCTTTGAGGAGTAGGTTGAGGCAATGGGCTGTACAAGGCACCCATGGTATCCGTGAGATGTTGTGGTCCACTCGCCGCCTTAGGAGTCTTGCTGCCTACTTGTTGACCTCTGCGTTGTCTGTGCATAATGCATTCACGCGGTGCACTCCGATCTCACGGATAACCTGCTCCCAAAGTTTAGTCAGTGCGGTTGCTGTCTTCTTCCTCTTCGACATGTCCAACACCTTCAGCAGAACCACACCGGACTCTGAAGCAGCAATGAAGTTCATCACTGGGCGGAACTTGCGATCCATGCAACCGTCAGTAAGCACGGTGCAACCGGTGATGTCCCATCCCTCCATAAATCGCCGCATCCGCTCCCTCTGGCGCTCATAGACAATGTCAAGTGCAATCATCCGCAATGTTAACATCTTCGTCATTGACACTCTCTGCCTCTTCTCCCCCAACTCCAAGTATAAATCGTGCAACTCCTGCGTCTTCTCTCCTGTCACGTAGTTGAATGGCGCACCGTGCTCAAACAGGTGTTCTGCCCAAGCGATGTCCAAACGTTGTTGGGAGTTGTTCTTTGTCCACCTCTTAATTGAAGCTTGATGCAGCCTCCTTGATGGTCGCCCGGTTACGGAAGCCTTCCCCAAAGCCCCTGGACCACCTTGGGGTTGTCCCTCCACCAACTCTCCACCATCGCCCGCATCTTCTTGACACGGCACCAGTTCCCTCCGTGCAGCGGTCGATGGCCCCATGAATGGGACAAACGGTCTTCCCCACCCTCCTGATCCTCCGTTATTGACTGAGGGTCTGCACCATCCGCGATGTTATGCTCCCTTCTATACAATTGAATAATCCTGTTTGTCTTGGGGTCGTCTATCTTAGCCCCCTTGCTTGCGAGGATGTGCAAAATTTCGCCCGTACGTGTAGGGCAAACCTCCCTCGTTTGTGTGAAATGGCGAAGCAGTCGAGTGTACGATGCCGTCCACAACTTCCCGCACAACTTGCACTTGTGTCAGTATTGCCCGAACCCCTTCGGCTCCGCCTCTTGTCCTCGCAGGACCCATATGTAGGCAACCTTTGTCTTCTGCAACTCCAGCTGCATATTCTCTGAGTCTGCCTCGAATGATGGTTAAACGCAGACGGCTTGCCCCTTCCCCTTTCCCTTCGCCTTCTTGCTGCTGCCCGCCGTGCTGCTTCCTGCCATCCTGTTGCCCTCCATGATGCCGCCTGCTACGCTGAAGCTAGCCATGCTTCAAACAACAGTCGCAGCAGCAACAGTAGTAGTAGTAGTAGTAGTAGTAGTAGTAGAAGAAGATGAAGAAGAAGAAGAAGAAGAATTCCTTTTAGTAGGGGAATATAGCAGAAGGGAGGCACAGGTAAGAGAGTTGCAGATTGGGTCTTCCCACATGTTCAGTAATCAGAGAACACCCAATACTGTGGGCTTATCGTGTCAGACACAACCTGCACGACAACGACAACATTGTCAGAAGTGCCTAGTAATCTTTATGCTTACCAGGGCAATTCACATAGCATCCATAGAGTTGTGGCTGCCTATCTGTCTTTGTTTGTCTGTCTATGTCACCCCCCCATCGCCAGTGTCTGTATCTCTGTATCTATCTATCTATCTATCTCTATCTATCTATCTGTCTATCTCTATCTATCTATCTGTGTATCTCCTCCTGCTCTTGCGCACCACAACGGCCACACTATCAGCAGTGACCATTAATCTTTGAAACCGGGGCATGGCAAATCAGGTTGTCTCACTCACTCGCCCACTCACTCCCTCCCTCACTCACTCACTCGCTCGCTAGCTCGCTCACTCAATCACCCACCTCCACTCGCTCACCCATAGCAAATCGGCCCACTCACTCACCCGTCGTCTCACAATCACAGTGTACCTTCTGAGATATGCCGTTGGATTGCAGGTATCTGTACCTCAGTTAAACCACTGGCACATACCTGCAGGAGGTGAGAAACCGTGCCTCAGAGCCCCAGAGATGTTCAGGCTGACACCAGTAGGGCGGTTGGGAGGCATACAATAGAGAAAGGTACTGGCCGACCCCGATTCCAGCCACACATTGTCCTGCTGCCTGCCTCACAGCAAACGGGGCGGGCAGTGGGCACATTTGGCTTCGACTGGTAAGGCCCAAGGACAGTTGTGGCAGGGGGGGGTGGCCAGGGCTGTGTGTTGTGTCACACAACACTTAGCACATGTCACACAACACTTCATATAGCATCCATAGAGTTGTGTGCTGGTCACACAGCGCACATGTCACATGTCACAGTGTGTGACATATTCTAAGTGCTGCTTGACCAGCACACAACTTTCGATGTCCTGTGTGAGTGCTGGTGACATGTGCTAAGTGTTGCGTGATATGTGCTGAGTGTTGTGTGACATGTGCTAAGTGTTGTGTGTCCAACACACAGCTTGCTAAGTGCTGTGTGGCCGGCACACAACTTCTTGTATTTTGGTAATTTCTTTATGCATTCTGTTTGCAACACAATACTTTGTCATGACATAGCACATCACATGGCACAGCACATAGCACAACACATAGCACACACACACACACACACACAGCAAAGTCTGGCAAGCAAACACACACAAACCCAAAACCCCAATCCTGGAAGGAAATCGAGTTGGGTAGGGAGGCACAGACCCCGCCCCAGAGTCCCAAGCAAAATTTCAAGTGTTCCGTTTTTCTCCTTCTGAGTCTCCAGGGCGGAGGAGGGGCAGGTATCGCATTTCGTTGAGGGAAAAGAAGGTGTATGACACACATGCAGTCCTGAATTACTGCTCTGCTCAACGCGCTGTTGCTAGCAAGACGTATGAGTGCTCACTTGAAAAGGAGCATGGCATGGAATTGGGACTGACCGAGCTTGGGAAGATGGTGTCCGGTTTCAAGAGCATGGGCAATAAACCCTTGAAGAAACTAGGGGCGATTGTGGTGCTGGCTACAGGACAAGGCGCACCAGATGCATCTTCTTAACTGAAGACGACCTTACCGATAAACGGGGAGAATCAGATGGGGCCAGTGCGTGACGATGATGGTGATGGTGATGGTGATGGTGATGGTGATAGTGCTTCCCATAAAAAGCGTGTGCTGCATATCGGTGAGCGTTTGTCTTTAGCAGCACAGGGTGAAGCACTTTCAAGCAGCAGTAAATTGGTTCCCACTGGTCCAGCCAATGCCATTGAAGGTTATGTCCTCCAGAATAGGCCCTATCCTGCTGCAGTGATAGCAGGGGAAGCAGCAGCAGCAGCTCAGAGCAAACAAAGACAGGGCAAGAGTCGGAAGACCAATAGCGGCGTTGTGAACGATGTAGTGGCTGCTCCTGAAGTGCGCAAAACACAGAGCAAAGAGGAGGATCGAGTGTGCGCTTGACCTTGAAATCGGTAGAGGCTAATGATGAACATTTGGAAGGGAAAGTGCTTCCACGGACTGGCAGCGCTGAAACGACCGACGCAGCCACTGTTTCTGCGAGGACCAGGCGATCTCTCACGAACAAGGAGCATCTGGGTGAGGGCAGTCCCTCCTCAGAGAGGCTGGTTGAGGCAGTGGTTGGCCAGCGGGAGAGCAGGCGGAAGTTGAATAGAAGAGGAGTCGCGTTTAGCGGCAGCGCAACAACTGATGTGTGTACTGATAGAGCAGCGGTGGTGCATCGTGCTGTCGATCAGTGAAGTGCATTGGGCGAGGTGGCTTTTGTGAGAAACTGGTATCCGAGTCATTTTCAGGGCGGCCACAACTAGCAATGAGAAGCTGGTATCCGAGTCATTTTCAGGTCATGCAGAGGTCACGTCAGTCAAGGGAGAGGTGGTTTCCAAGGGAGATGATGGAAGATTTCCACACGTGCCCTGGCAATTTGTTTCGGTAGATTTAAAAAACCACAATTAGGGCGAGGAAATCATCGCAATGTGTGTGTGTGTGTGTGTATGTATGTGTGTGTGTGTGTGTGTGTGTGTGTGTGTGTGTGTGTGTGTGTGTGTGTGTAGGTAGGTTCTTCAGCTGAAGTGAACAACTATTGTCTTATGCAGACGTTAACGTGTAGAATGTTATGATATCTGAGCTGCTGCACCTGAGCGTCAAGGAGAGTGATAAGATATGAAGTCGGTTCCATGTCAGGTTAATCTGATTTAGAGTTTAAGTGCAACAGATTAAACAGACATGGAACCGACTTCATATCATATCAGGCTCGATCGAGCTTGATATGATCCTATGCAGCCAAAATCACAGCTGCGATAGCCTTGGCCCTTAGGAAGTTATAGGAACACAAAGGCGATGGATACATTAAATAGTACCTCTTACACTTTGCACTTGAGAACAGTGTGAAGTCTCATCATCCCATGGACCATGGACCATGTGTTGTCCATCTCGGCCATTCGATGCAGTCGGATAACTTACAGTTACTTACATGCTTGAGAACGGGTGCAAAAGTCCCACGATCCTTAGAAGTTAGAAGCATATAATGATGCGGAATGGAAAAAAGAAGAAGAAGATGAAACTTGACTCGAGTGCCGCTTGATATGATTATGATTGATTGGACTGTGGTTTGTAAGAAACATAACTTAACGATCAGATGGAGAGGAGGGTGGAAGATCTTCATCTAGCACAGCTTAACCACTGTAATTACACGGTAGTCTGTCTTCTCAGGTTAATTACAACTTTACCCCTCTGGTTTGAGTTATGTATGCCAGCGGTGCCAACTGTGGCTTTTGCATCAGAGACTTGGATGTCTCAGACTGACTCGAGCCCTTTCATAAGTTTCAGGTACATAGATCACGAACCTGACCAAATGCGTCTCTGTATGCAATTCTGTGACGGAAACGTTTTTCTTAAATGGGAATGTGTGATTAGATTCATTACTGCCAACACTGGTTGGTAGGAGGGGGCAGACCCCGCTGGTTCTATGCTGTTGTTGTTGTTGTTGTTGTTGTTTTGTTTTTTTTTTTACACAAACTCCATCTATTGGCGGGGAGCAGCACCTGCTGGAAACCGGGTCCAGCATTCTATGTTGGTTCTATAACTTCTATGTTCGTGCTTGGGAGATAGAAAACATGGACCTGGTGACCTGGCCGTCTGTGAGTGCCTTCATGGAATGGACATATCTCTAGCGGAACATAGCTCTAACAAAGCAACCCCACTGGTTGGGGATTTCTATGACGTCATGATGACAGATAAGTGAAGGAAGGAGTGAGAGTCTTAGAGAGGAGGAGCAAGGGGGCGGTGAACTTGTTCTTGGACATCCAGCGATGCCAACGCCCACGGACATCGAGCGATCTGGAGACCAGCCCCACCATCGATCGACCAACATCACCACAACAACTTTGATATTTAACGCACATAAACCAGACAAACCCCTGACCAAAGGCTATACAATCCACGACTGAAGATGCACAGGGTCACATGTGAAAGCACGAACAAGAAACGAGCCATGATTTCCATCATATGCCATATAAACAGCTGAAGATTAATTGCTCCGCGCAGGAGCTAAGTAGAGGGAAATCATTGCCAACGCTGACTCGGTCAAATATATTTACCGTCGGTCACGATATCCCCCTGTATACAAGCTAAAGCACATTTACTGTATGTCATAATACATATTTTGAAACCATCGTCTGCGCCCGAAGACAACACATCCTCATAACGAGTGTATACAAGCTATCTTTCAAGTCAGATGCAGTCATTATGAGGGTGCGTTGCGTTCGGGGGAAGACAGTAGCCCAGTACTTGCCAAACCTATTGAACAACTTGATCACCCTAAACTTGGGCCTATTCGCAAACTACATTCATTTGATGTCATGAAGAGAGAGGGAAATTTACCGTCGGTCACGATATCACCCTAAACTAAACTTGGCCCTTACCGCCAATAAAATTCATTTGATACCGTGAAGAAAAGAAGAACATTTACCATGGGTCACGATATCCCCCTGCACTTCGCCCTAATAGCCGACTGGATACATTTGAAACCATGAAAGAGGAACACTTCCCCATATCAGATCTAGACAAGGGCCTCGCTCCACCACTTAGAACAAGCACAAAAGACAAATTATGGTGATGTATCTATCCACGTTCTAGCGGAAGATCCATTCTCGTATTGCAAGAGCGAGGTTCGAAATCCAGACTTAAAGACGRCTGAATGAGGGTCCGGTCTGCAGGTCTATGTTCTARGGATCGTTCTCTCTTTGTGTGTTTTCACTTTTTTTTGCTCATTGAGCAGCCTATTAAAAAACAAAAAGAACAGCCAATTATCTGGAGGAAGCTTTTCGACTGAACCTAGACGAGATTTCAGGCAGATTCACTCAAGATCTCCGGATGGATGGATTGAGTCAAATGCTTCTAGCCAACTTTCACTCACACGGAGACTTACAATAAGCCATGATGCACAAATAACAGCGCCCGCCCAGATCAATCAAAAAAATTCCCCCAAAATRAATACACTCCCTCCTTTCCCGTTATTCAGTTCCGTACTCACGCTCCGTTTTCGATCTCTCGCAAGTTTGTCTTTCCAGCTACACAAGTGCAACTCTCTCTCTCTCTCTCTCTCTCTCTCTCTCTCTCTCTCTCTCTCTCTCTCTCTCTCTCTCTCTCTCTCTCTCTCTCNTCTCTCTCTCTCTCTCTCTCTCTCTCTCTCTCTCTCTCTCTCTCTCTCTCTCTCTCTCTCTCTCTCTCTCTCTCTCTCTCTCTCTCTCTGTGGACGCCGACGATGTGCCACATCAGTTCCTGATACATTTCGACCTCTCTCTCTCTCCACCGTTCCTGTTGTTGTGTCGTCTTTTCTGGCTGATGCATCTCCCGCAACCCTTGTCCCCGCGGACGTCACCCAACCGCTTTCCTCGATGTATCCGACTTCAATTACTGCCAGACTTGGATGCATCTGATCGTAAGCACGTTAGAGCTTAGTAGAAAAAGTCTTCACGTGGGTTTAGGGATGACCCTGAATCTATTTCAGGGATTAGGGATGGACCCAGATGGTTATTTATCTTGAAAAGGCTGCTGGCCAGTGCTTCACGATCTATTGCACCGATCCACGACAACGACGACGACCACGTATTAGTAGAGAATTACTCATCGACCATCGATCTATCAGATTATTCTTCGGAGATTAACACAAGTTGTATATATACGTACATATATATCTTAGATAAATTAATTACACTGACGACTGAGATTACGCGGTGACGTAGAGGATGACGACGGGTGATGATCAGATGCAATCTATCTGGATATATATATTGTCACAAAGTTATATATGCACGTTTCACAAGTCATTGATAAGATCAGATGGTACTTAGGTATTACTGGAGTTTGAGCTATGAATCCGACCACGAGAAGGGGCAATGGGGAAGGGGGAGATGAGGAGGAGGAGGAGAGAACTTCACTTTTTATGGTAAAAAATTGCGACGAGAGGCTTCCTTCCCTCCCCCTCTCCCCCCTTCCCCCTCCTCTTCCCCCTCCACTTCCCCCTCCTCTTCCCCCTCTTCTTCTCCCCTCCTCTTTCCCCTCCTCTTCCCCCTCTTCCCCCCTCTTCTTCCCCCCCCTCTTTCCCCCCCCTCCCTTTATACGGATGAAAGGGGTGACGAGGGGTGACTTCTTTACCGTGATTTCTTTAGGTCTTCCGTGACTGTGGCGGCCGCTCGCGAATCATTAAACCAATCAAGATGACATAGTCTGCCTAATAATAATAAAGTAAGCAATAACAAAGGCGCTGGGTATTTTCTTTGGATCCATAGTCATCCATTTCCATCTATCCATCATCCATTCATCATACATTAATCATCCATCAATCATCCATTAATCAGCCATCAATGATCTATCAATGATCCATCAATCATCTATCAATCATCCCATCAATCATCCATCAATCAATATCCTATCCATCCATCCATGAATCATCCATGAATCGTCCTTCCATCTCTCTTTTGCCGTAGATCCGAGTCATCCGACGATATCGGTAAGAGGAAATTTGTTGGGTTTGAACAAGGACAGCGCCATTGTCGGTAAGAGGAAAAGACCGTGCGTTCTATTCCCTTAGCAACGAGTATCGATGGTCGTTGTTGAGGGTTATGAAGAAGCGGGGGAAAGGAAGATAATTTTATGCTAGTGAACCGTAAAGGAAGTGCGGAGGTTAGCGTCTTCCCCTGACTAGAACGCACGGTCTTGATAGTTGTATTTGGGGCAGCTTTCAGTCTGCATACAGCGATAATCACCGTGCGTTCTATTCGGTGGAAAGACGGTGATAAGGCTGGAAAGCGAAGGAGCAGAAGAAGAGCCTGGGGGCAACATCCAAGATACCCTACAGTTACTTGGAGCGACCTCAGATTCTGAAATCAATGTCCAGAAATGAGAGTTTTTGGGTGAACGTGACCAGGATCTCAGCCTGGGGGGAGAAGGAGGGAAAGGAGTAAATAGAGCATGTAGGAGATTGGGGGAGAAGGGGGAGGATTCTGACATCAATGTCCAGAAATGAAAGTTTTTGGATGAATGTAACCTGGATCTCAGCCCGGGGGGAGAAGGACGGAGAGAGTAAACAGAGCATGGAGAAAATTGGGGGAGAAGTGGGGGGTAGGGAGGAGGAGGGAGGAAGAGAGAGGAAGACAGGAGGAGAGCGAAAGAAGAGAGAGAGAAGAGAGGAGGAGGGAGTAGAAGAGGAGAAACAGAGGAGATGGAAACGCGAACGAATGGAGAAGTTACAAAGGAGGAAGAGAGGAGGTAAGGAGGGCACAAGAAAGGAGGAAGAGAGGAGCGGGAAATTAGGGAGGATTTTCCTCTCTCTTCCTCCCGATGGCGGGCCATCGGGAGGAGCAGGAAATTAGGGAAGACTTTCCTCTCTCTTCTGCGGCGATGGCGGGCCATCCACCACGATGAACTCGCAAGCGAAGTCCCCATCGTTGTCGGGATACTCACCAGGGATATGTTCAATCAAGACCTGATGAATCTCTTACAGGTCCCTATCATCTAGATTCAGTCGGGAACACTCCTCAATGACGTATTGTGAGTCATCCATTTCCCTCTGGTCCTCTAATAGCAACGCACCATGCCATCCCCGATCCCGATCTTCATCCTCTAATTGATCGCAACCGCAAGCTCACGAAGAATCTAGGGAGGCCTGAATGAAGGAAGACAAAGAGGCTTTCCGATGGTAAGCTTCTTCTTCCTCCTCCGATTAGAAGCGAAGGACGAAATTCAACAGACGAGGTCTTATCCACAACACCTCCCACCACCACCCCACCCTCTCTCTCTCTTTCTCTCTTTCTATTCCTATTCGCAAAACAAGACTGCGGCCCACGTCTGGGTAACCACCCTCCGATCCACCTCTGAACAAGACCGCCTCTGAACACGCCACCATCATCATTTTTCTCATCATCATCATCATCATCATCATCATCACCATCATCATCATCATCATCATCATCATCATCATCATCATCATCATCATCCACGTAATGAGAAAACCCCATTCCCCGCGTCCAACCCCCTCCCGACAATAGTCACACAAAACTCACGAGGAGCTATCTGACCTCCTTAGCGAGAAGATGAGATGGAGGGCAAAGAGATGACGCGAGATGGAGGGGGGCAAACGAAGGGGACAAACAAATACGAAAGACAATGCCCCGGACTCGGCATACATCACATCTGACCACAACTCGGAAGGGAAAAACAAAAAAACAAACAAAACAAAAAACCAGTCTGAGAACGATGGCAGGGAAATGAAGCCGATTGAAAACCTTCACTAAGTTAGTATTTCTTTCGAGAACGTTCATAGTATCGAACTTGAAAGCAATATTTTCATTCACACGAGAAGGACGAAGCACAAGAAAGAGGGGAGGAGATAACGGAGAGTCTGCAACTCGTCGACCCTCTCTCTCTCTCTCTCTCTCTCTCTCTCTCTCTCTCTCTCTCTCTCTCTCTCTCTCTCTCTCTCTCTCTCTCTCTCTCTCTCTCTCT